GCTTTCTGCCAAAAAGCATCCTTTTCACTTCCATATAAACATATGATATAGAAGATTTGAATTGATGCCTCTAAACACATTTGCTCCTCAGTCATATTAAACCTGAGGACTTATTTTCCTTTGGGTAAATACACAATAAAGGGATTGCTGGATCAAATGGTAGGTCTACTTTTAGTTCTTTGAAGTATCTCCATAGTACTTTCCATAGAGGTTGTACTAGTTTGCAGTCTCACCAACAGTGTATAAGTGGTCCTTTCTCTTCACATCCATGCCAGCATCTGTTGTTTGGGACTTTTTGATGAAAGCCATTCTCACTGGAGTTAGTTGATATCTCATTGTGGTTCTGATTTGCAGTTCCCTGATGATTAGAGATGTTGAGCATTTTTTCATATCTTTATTGGCCAACAGTCTATCTTCTTTTGAAAAGCTTCTGTTGATGTCTTTTGCCGATGTTTGGGGTTGTTTGATTTTTTCTTGCTGATTTTCCTGAGTTCTTTGTAGATTCTGGTTATTAGACCTTTATTGGATGTATAGAATGCAAATATTTTCTCCCATTCTGTAGGTTGTCTACTCGTTCCATTAATTGTTTTCTTGGCCGTGCAGAAACTTTTTAATTTAATCAGGTCCCATTTATTTATTTTTGTTGTTGCTATGATTGCCTTTGGGGTCTTCTTCATAAATTCTTTCCCAAGTCCAGTATCTATAAGAGTTTTTCCAACATTTTCTTCTTCTAGAATTCTTATGGTTTCAGGCCTTAAGTTTAAGTCTGTTATCCATCGTAAATTAATTTTTGTGAGTGGTGAGAGGTGGAGATCCTGTTTCAGTATTCTACATGTGGCTATCCAATTTTCCCAGCACCATTTAGTGAATAGGGATTCTTTTCTCCAGTGCATGTTTTTGTCTGCTTTGTCAAAGATTAGATGGCTATATGAGGATGGTTTTATATCTGGATTCTCTGTTCTGTTTTATTGGTCTATGTCTCTGTTCTTGTGCCAGTACCATGCTGTTTTGGTTACTATAGCCTTGTGGTGCAGCTTGAGGTCTGGTAAAGTGACGCCTCCTGATTCATTCTTTTTGGTTAAGGTTGCTTTGGATATTTGGGGTCTTTTCTGGTTCCATACAAAGCATAGAATTATTTTTTCTAGATCAATGGATAACGATGTTGGTATTTTATTAATTCCAGGAGTCTCTTGGCAGAATCTTTGGGGTTTCGAATGTTTATTGCAGCATAGTTCACAATCGCAAATATGTGGAATCAACCCAAGTACCCAATGATACATGAGTGGATTAATAAAACGTGGTACAT